TCTCGAAGACGCTCTGCGACTCCGGCACGGGTGCCTCGCAGCCGTTCCCGACAAGGTTCTACAGCTCGGTTGTCTGGGGGCTCGGCCTTTCAGGCATCATCTCATCCGCAATGTCGATGATAATCAAGGCATCCATGGCGAATGACTTCGAAGGTGTGCAGGCGCAGGCCCGCATCTACTTTGGCGTCTCGATGGGCCTTCAGCTAATCTCCTGCATTCTGCTGGCGGTGATGCCACGGATTCCGTTTGCCCGCGAGTACACTGCGGAGTTCAGGTACACGCATGAACACCGTGTCGAGCGTGCCCACACGAGCAACGACGAGTTCCCCGTGGGCACCGCGGGGAAAACGGAGGTGTCGCCGCTTCCTGACGAGCATACGGCTACGTTTTCGGGCGCTGAGCACAACAAGGATGTGCTGCACGTTGAGGGGGACGCGGACCCTCACACAGTGGGCAAAAGAAAAAAGGGGTGGGTGTAACTTTTTTTACAAAGTATCTCTTGGTGAATGTACGATAAGGCCATTCGTGGCCCTTCTAGCTCAGTCGGTAGAGCGCACGGCTCTTAACCGTGTGGTCGTGGGTTCGATCCCCACGGGGGGTGCTTTTCCCGGAGGTCCGCTCGCGCCCGCCACCGCCGCAGCGCCGAAAGCTCAGGGACGCGCCGAGAGAGACATGTGCTGGCACTGGGGGCGGCCAGGTCAAGAGTTTCCGCACTGCTGCACCTCGTCGCCGGCGCCTTGCTGCGCCGCGGGCTCCTCGGGCAACATTGCTAGCTCCTCCGTCATCGCAGGGTCGAAAACGACCGGGTAAAATGGCCCTTGTATCATAGCCCCCGCCTGAAATTTTGTAGTGTGGGGCAACAAGGGCCCGTTCTGGGTGGCGTACGTCTTTTCACCCATGTAATGAATTAAACAGCAGCGTGCTGCGTCGAGGGAGCGGTTGCCGTGCGTGGCAAAAAGTGTCAGTGGGTGAATGAGGAGCGCCTCGCCGCGCTTCATGTCCACCGTGACGGGAGGGGTGTCCATGAGCATTTCACTCTCTTCCTCGTTGATAATTTCCCAGATGGTGTTTAACTGTTGTGCCTCGTCCTTGGTGGGATCGTACGGAACCGCAGGCAGCAAACCGCCCTCTCGCCATCGGTGGCTGCCGGGAACCAGGCAAGGAGCACCACGATCCTTGTTCATTGTGTCAAGCGCGATCATGACAGTCACATGATTTACAGGCGTTGTGTGCTGCCAGCGAGCGTAGTTTTGTTGCCAGGGAACACACGGTCCCTTACGGGCCTCCTTCATGAACACCTCATCGTACCACAATCGCACGAGCGCATTGCCAAGAATCTGCGAGGCAGCCACCGTGATTGTGGGGAGGTAGATGAGGTCATGCATGCCCCACGCGGCCCGCCACTGCCCCTGGCAGTAGAAGAGCGGCCCCCCTGTTAGGTCGGCCAACGAGGTGGCGTACAGCTTCTCCGTCTTTGGATGGTGCTCCACGTTGTTGGCCAGCTCATTCACCTCATCGGCCAGCTTATCCACCTGCTGCGCGTCGAGCACTGGGCGGGGCAGTTTCATGTAGCCAAGCTGATGAAAGCGATCCACAATTTCAGGTGCGATGACAAATTGACCGAACTCGTCCACGTCCGGCAGCGTCCCGTACAGGCAGCCAAGAGCCCCGTTGATGTCTTTGAGGTCCTCCGGGAGTTGGCCCCTAAGAAACTTCAGCACGTACGACTTCCATCGGCACGAAAGCGCGAGATGCGGCGGGGCCGTCAGGCGTGACGCGACGAACGGCGACCGCAGAAACCTCAGGCCGCAGGCAGCCACGCGAGACGCATGCATTTCTGTGGGCGGTGAGGCACACTACACCACCGCTCTGGACCCTCACCGCCAAGGTACGGAGTAAACAACTCCCGGGCGAAGGTGACAAAAAGAACAGAAAACGAATTGAGAAAAAAAGAGAGCGGGGGTTGAAGCAGCAGCAGCAGCAGCAGCAGCAGCATCGACAGAAAGGGGAGAGGAGGGGGGACAAGCTCCGGAATCGCCAATAAGGAAGTAGATGGCGGTCCCACTCTGGACTATTACGCTGTATACTGCATGCATGCATTCATTC